CTTTTTATTTATCGTTAAGCTTCAGTTCATTGAGCACGCGAATATTTTGTTTTGATATCGGTACAAAGAAATATACAAATGGTGAGGTTTTTTATTCTTTTGGTATATAGAGTATGCAGTGTTTAAATCAAAGACTAAACTAATAGAGTATTGTATAGGGCGCCTGACGCAAAACTGAAGGCTCTGCCTGATTTGTGAATCAATGTAATATAAAAAACTATTCAGAAGCAAATTAAATTGTTAATTCGCAATCAAAATTTTTATCAATTTACCAAACTACTATCATTTAAAAATATTGAGAATTAATATTGGGGTTGACCTGTGTAAAAAGGTCCAGAATCGATAAATAAATAAAAAAAAAATAATGAATATATATTTTATTGTTAAAAGGATTGAGCAGTAAATGGTGTTATTAATCTGTATAAAGTAGATATCATACTTCTCTTGTTGATAATTATGTTTCTTTATGAATCATTCACTTATTAGAAAAAGATTTGTAAGAATAGTTAACACAATATTTTTCAATAGTTATTTGTTTATTTTGTGATATCATTTTTTTAAGAATTTTGGTTATTTTCATAAAAATTATTTTTGAAATTATTAAACTATTAAAATTTAAATCATTTTATAATAGAACATAGGAATAATTTTGATTAATTCTGAAAGTCCAGAAATTGTCACTATTCTTCACAATTTTCACAACATATTACAATTTTTAAGGCATTAAGAGCTTTGCTGTTACAACGAAAAGCAGAAAAACTTTACTGGTTATTAGGAACTAAATCCAAACTTATACAATAAGCTGCTTCTAAGAAAATCATTACGGAACACAATTATGGGGTAGTGTACATGAAAATAGATATGATACAAAATTTTCAAAATAAATTACTCAAAAACGCCAAATGAGAGCACCAAAATATGTTTCTAAATGGCTGTGGATTGGAGATTGAACATTAATTAGTATAACCAAAATTGTAAACAAAAACACTTTGAAATATCATTTTATTTTCAAATTTTAATTAATTAAATGAAACTGAGGCATCAAAGTTGTTGTATAGTGAATTGTAAAAATACATGTAGAAAAACTGAGTATAAAACAAAATTTACAAATATATTACCTCTAACTGAAAAAAAATCAACGGAAACAGTGGGTAGCTGAGTTTAAAATTAGTATCGTAATCTTATTCTCAAAAAAAAATTGGAGTATTATAAATTGACACTAAAGTTGTTGTGTAGGGAATTGTAAAAATACGAGTAGAAAATGTGAGTGCAAATTTATTATAAAGTGGATAATAGCTGCGGCTATAACCTTATTGTTATAAAAAAAACGTAGTATTATAAACCGTTGTAAAATTGTTATGTTTAGCAAACGTAAATAATTTTTTTTGCAATTTGGTTATGAAAAGTCAGAAAGAAAATTCATCATTCAGTAAATTGTTATATTATTGAAAATTTAATGACTAAAAGAAAACTAAAAAGTTATTTCAGGGCAAAAAAAATCTGCAAACAGTTTAGTTAATACTAGGCCTAAACATTATTATTATTATCCTTTTTGGTTCGACAAAAAAATAATAAAAAATAGTGAATTAAATTATTATGCACATATTCTATTTGAGATAAGATAAGATATTGAGAATACAGTATGACTGTATTTTTTGAAATATTGTCAATAATAGGTTTTCAACATGTTATTATTCTATATGTCTTTATAAAACCGAGAATTGTACATTATCAAATTTGCTAAATGTCCTTAACTAGACAGTTGTGAATATAAATGTGAATATAAAAAAAATTTGCTGTAATAATATAGAATGAATTAAATTTATTTGTTACAGTTTTTTTACATATTGGGACAAAACCTCGAGTTTGGTAAAAAGCAAAAATATTAAACCATGCCGAAGCGAGAAACGTTCAAGAAGTATATTTGAAATATAAAAATGAGTTCGAGCTTTTCAAATTATGCACACCAGTTTTTAAAATCACTGAAGGAATTCAATTAGATGTTCGTTTTTGTCAAATAATTAATTTTGACAATTTTTGCACTATACCGTATTAACAAACAGCTGCTTCAAAAATGAAGCCAAACTTTACATATAATCATAAATATAACGTTTTGTGAATTCATTCTAATCTAAATTTAAGATTCTATTTATTGCGACACAATATTAAGATCTCTTGAAAGCAATAAATATTTAGTTTAATGACGGGTCGAGATAAAATTTTGACACTCGTTTAAATAATAGAATGAATAGAATCTGTTTTAAGAGGTTATAAAGCTTAAATATTCCCCAGAAATTTAAACTCAAGCGTAACATGCGTTAACTGGCGTTTATATTTTATTTTAATACCGAAAACTCCGATACTTTTAGGCAAAATACCGGTATTAGTACTGCTGAAAACACAGACGGTATATCGATATTGCATTAACTTCTTCTATTTACCAGAAGTGCTTACATATGCTCATTCGGCTTGAACTCACTAACTTATTAGAATTATTTTGGAAAACGTTACATTTTAATTGGAGCGTAAACGTTATTAACTTCCCGAAGGAGAAGTTTATGTTTTCATCAAAAAATCCGATTCGCTAATTTTATGTTTTCTCGACGTTTCAAGCCATTCTGAATCGAATGAGACCAAATTTGGAAAAAGTATGTGTTTGTGTGTGTACGTGTGTGTGTGTGTGTGCGAACAGATTTTTTGCCGTAAATCGACGTTTTCTCCAAAACGGATGGACCGATTACAAAAATTTAAAAGCCGATCGATGTATCTCAATGAAGACTAGCGTGCGACGATCGGCCGGGCCGTTTCTGTGTAAATTGCAGAAAAGTAAAAAATTTTTTGTCCACGTTTTAGCCCTCAATTCTGAATCGATTTTGAAAATTCAAAAACCGATCAATAGATATTGGTTGGGAATCGTGCTGATTAGTTTTTGGTAAAGATCGGCCGGGCCGTTTTCTTTAATAGAGTTAAAAAAAAAAATCGAGGATTTTTGTGATTTTTTTTTTGATAATTCTTCAATGTTTGCAAAAATTAGAATCATTTTTTGGCATTTGTCAAAATTAGACCTGTCATCGACGTTTTCTCAAAAATGCCTGAACCGGCTTCAGAATTTTAAAAGCCATTTGATGTATTTCGATGAGGACTATCGTTTGTCAGTTTTGTGCGACGATCTGCCAAGCCGTTTCTATGTAATTTGAAAAAAAGTGTTAAACTTTTCGTCGATATTTAAGCTCATACTACCGAACCGATTTTAAAAAATCAAAAACTGTTCGAAAGATATTAGTTGGAAATGGTACTGATTAGTTTTAGGTGAAAATCTACCAAGCCGTTTTCTTGTAATTAACTGTTGAAAAAAAAATTCAGTCGATTTTTATGGATTTTTTTTAGCGATATAATCATCTTATAGAACTTACTGTAATATTACAGCCTTACAACAAGTAGTTTAATTTTAAAAATTTATCAAAGTTTGAGAAAATGAGTAGTTTTTTTTGTCGTTAGCTAAAATTAAAATTAGACGATTTACTTGGTATAACAATATAGTACTTGGTCTCAGTAAACATACTAAACCATTAAAATCCTACGAAAACTGGTTCAAATATAATAATTGTTGATTTTTGAAAAGTTGCTTTTTGAAAATACGCTGAGTTAACGTGTTCGTTTGTTTTCAATTATATGTAATAAATTCACTCATAAATTAATTTATTTTTTATTGATTAAGTCGATTATTTACACATATCGGGAAGTTCATGTAACTTGCCTCAAGGCTAAATACCAATTCCAACTAGTTATTTTTTGACGGTAGATTCCATAGTCTTATAGAACATACTAAAATATTATGGCCTTACGACAATTGGTTTAACTTTGAAAATTCGTCGAAGTTTGGAAAAATTGTATCGTTTTTTTTTGGCATTTGTCAAAATTAGATCTTTCATCGACGTTTTCTCAAAAACGCCTAAACCGATTTCAGAAATTTAAAAACCATTCGATGTATCTCAATGAGCACTATAGTTTGTCAGTTTTATGAGACGATCTGCCGAGCCGTTTCTTTATAATTTGAAAAAGAGTTAAACTTTTCGTCCACATTTAAGCTCATTCTACCGAATCGATTTTAAAAAATCAAAAACTGTTCGAAAGATATTAGTAGGGAATGATACTGATCAGTTTTAGGTGAAAATCTACCGAGCCGTTTTCTTGTAATTAACTGTTGAAAAAAAAAATTAAGCCTATTTTTATGAAACTTTCTTTGGCGATTTATATCATGGTCTAATAGAACTTACTGAAATATTACGGACTTACGACAAGTAGTTTAATTTTAAAAATTCATCAAAGTTTGAAAAAATGAGTAATTTTGTTGACGTTTGTTAAAATTAAAATTAGATAATTTACTTGGTATAACGATAGATTACTTGGTCTTAATGAACATACTAAACCATTAACGTCCCACGAAAACTGGTTCAATTATAAAAATTATTGATTTGTGAAAATTTGCTTATAGAAAATACTCCAAGTTAACGTGTTCGTTCATTTGCAATGATGTGTAATAAATTCACTCGGAATACTTCTAATCACTTATAAATTAATTTGTTTATTATTGATTAAGTCAATTATTTACACATATCGGGAAGTTCATGTAACTTGCCTCAAGGCTAAATACCATTACCAACTAGTTAATTTAATTTTTGCAATTAAAGAATATATAAAATTTATTATATACTACATGAAACAAATATAAGCAAATCTTTCGTTTTTCCATTATGAATTTGCACATAATCTGAGAAATAGTCCAGAACCTACTCTATACAATACATTCTCGACTATTTCTTACATCAGATTTTCTTACATTTAACCCGTGTTCTGGGTAATTCATTAACGCGACCTATTTGTCAGAGCACAAAGGTGGTGGCACAGAAGAAATTCTATTTTCGCAATCTATTATTTGTGTTCTCATCCTATTCTATGTATGTTACAGTAGCTAAAATGTCTACCGCAACGCTATCCACACTGGGCAGGGAGAGGCGGACAATGCTGATAGACACTATAGTCTATGAACGGCGGGTGCTTCTAGGCTGCACGGGTGCAGTGGGACTCGCCGTACTCTTCTGGGTAATTGCTTTCTCGACGGACAGTTGGGTGCTCGTTTCTGGCGGAGAAGGTTAGATAATCACAATCTGCATTTCTACACACATTTTGTCATACTCATCACAATCATTACAATATATAAAATTTAAAACTTATTCGGTATTCAGTTTAATCGTTTACAAGCACATATTTAGTTCAGGAATCTGTCTTCCTCCTTTAGCATATTTAACATTACAAATTTTAGAAAATTTAGGAAATACGGACAAAATGGTATATATGGATAGAATAGTTTTATTAACGTTTTCTTGAGAGTATAACATGAAGAAAGTCATAATAAAAATACTGTCAGATGTTGAGAGTCATTGTCATAGCCTTGACGCAGTAAACAGTTGAAGCGCCTTGAAAAGTATTTTTTCTCATGTTTTTGGGGGATCTATTCATTAAATTAAAATTATCTAACTTATGCTAGTACTGGTGATTTCCAGGATTTTTATTGTAATAGTCAGATGTTTGGTGGAATTCTGATTAATTATTCATTTCTGTTCAATTTTGGACAAAATTACTTATACAATAGACAAAATGATGAAGCACTATTTCGCAAGAATTACAGGATTAATAAAAAGAAGAGTTCTCGTAAGGTTCACACGCGATTGAAGTAAAACTTATTTGCTAATGTACAAGATGGCATTTAAGTAAAAATAAATACATCATATAACCATTTTGAATAATGCTTATTAGTAATATGGTAACACTCGTGATGCACACATTTATTAGCGTCAACCATTATACACATTTATATAATGATAAATTATAAATTATATATTTATAATAACAATAAAAATATGTATAATATCTAAAAACAATAATATAATTAGAGTCATACTTCAAATATGACATCATCGGTTTGTCATTGTAATTAGCATTTAGACTTCATTATAGAAATGAAGTAATTGCTGATTAATAAGTTCTAATTCAACATGACGTTACTGTTTTCATAAATATATAAACCTCACTCCAAACAATTCGCTATCATACAAGCTATAATGAGAAAGTTTGTTTTTGATGAAAATACATTTTGAATATCTTGTTCGATAAATTATTTAAAATTATTCTTAATTATGACAAATCAGATAATATTTTCGAAAAATTTGTATTTAATTGCACTTTTAAATTACTGATACACTTGCTCATGTATTATATAAAAATGCAAATGTGCAAAATATTAATAATTTAATGCGCAAATTAGCTACGGAACTGTAATGAAATTATTAGATTTAATTTCTAGAAAAAAAGCAACTACTATTTCAAAAGTGAATTTTATCATTTTGTGATAAAAATTGACATAAAAACAAAAAATGTTATATATGGAATTCACAGTTTTACCATTTTTTTATTACAGTTGCAATTAATATCATTAGCTAACATATAAGTAAAATGCATTACATTTATAGTAATTGAAAATTAGCCAAGTAGAGTAAATAATATAAATAAATAAGCAAAAAAAATTCTTCAACATAATCTATTAACAAAAAAAATGTATTTAAATAAAAAACATGTTTCAGATATTATAAAAAGCAGACACTTTCGAAGCTCGGAAAGAAATCTCACACTTTTTCAAGTTTTAAATTATAATCGGTATGCAACAATAACTAAGCATTCCTTATTATATTAGAAATAAAACAACTATTAAATAAAATTCATAAAAATCGCCAAAAATTTCAGACAATGAATAAAAACGCAAAGGAAAAATCAATATGACAATTGTAAATTACAAAATAATTGAAAAATACATATATTAAATGAATGCTAACACAGTGTTTATTGAAGCCATAATTAATTCCAACGAATTCCACGTAGTAAATCCATATTTGATTTACCTAAGAAAAAAATTTAAAAATTTAAAATTGGGTATGTCACATGAATCTTATTTATTGAGTTAAAGTTAGAAGACATTAGTATTACATGCGATTTAATAGACTATTAATTCTTGAATAGGATACTTGAAAAATGTTTGAGTTCGTGAAGTGAATCTATGAACGTTGTTAAAAACTGGTTAATAATTTGAGGATAATTTATAGCACTATTTTAAAACTTGTTTAAGAACAAAATACAATATAATACAATACAACTTAGTAAAACGGCGTGTGTCAGGCAAAAGATTATATGTTAAATTCATCTTTAAAGTAACGTTCTAGAATAGTTTTTTGTGTTCTCATGTATAATTATTTCAGAAATTTTTGTTAAACTTTCTCTATCGCATGGGAATTATTGCTATGAAATATTCCATCTATTATCAAGCTTGGAACGTACAATTGCACATATGCTAATTAATGAATGGATTATTTTATTTTTTTCCAGACCCTTAATATCAATTATAATGGTTTACTATGATACTATAAATAATAGCTATGTATCGGTAGAAGACAAATAGTGTCAAATGAATTGTCTAAGTTAGATATTTTTTCACATTGTTGTATGCACGATTATATAATAAAAATGTATCAAATCGCGTTAGGGCTTAGAATAAAATTTTTAATTTTTGTAATATGTACTTAGATCCAGTTTATCACCAGAAGTGAAAAAATCAAGGTTAGACTGCACCACTAATCAATATTTAATTGTAATGATTTTAAGAATATATTATCTATTTGCTTTCAAAATTAATATCGTAGGGTTTACCCACAGGCGAACAGTTTAGCGTTGAGATTTGAATCAAAAGTTCTCCTAAAGACAAAAAACTCAATTCGGGGGTTAGAACCCCACCACATAATATTTTTAGGTCTAACTGGATAAAATATTATAATTAATAATAATCATTATTATTTTGTTACATACATTACATGATTATATAATCCTTTTTGTTTACTACATTAATATATATGTGAGAGAATTTGGTTTTGGAAACACCCGGCCTTTTAAGATGTCTTTTGCACTAAGAACTCCATTAATTTTTTTTAAATTTATATAATGTTTGCTTACACAAATCAAATGTATCTGTCAAAACTATCTATCTTCATCACTGGATGCTATAATTATATGGTTAGCCATTATAGTTCACAATAATATAACAACCGAACACTTAATATATCAAAATTATACTAGGGAAAATACGAACAAAATCCCTTCTATAAAATTATGATGGTTTTATTAACGTTTCCGCGACTGTATAACATGAAGAAAGCCATATTAATAATCATGCCAGATGTTGCGCGTCATTGTCTCAGTCTTGTCGCAATAATCAGCTCAAAAGTGTATCGCGCCATGAAAAGTTTCTTTTGTGATTGTTTTTCTCTTGTTTTTTTGGGACCTATTTATTGATTTAAATTATTTACCAGTTATTTCAATTGAAATCAATCAACTTTTGCCAGAACTAGTGATTACACTTGTGCTACAATCTATTTTATTGAAATAATCCGGAGCTTGGTGAAAAGTTGATTAATTAACTTCCCGGGTAAGTTATTGTAATCGTACAAAAATCGAAATTGAAAATTTTTACATTTCTTCACATTTTGAAGGTTTTATTTAAAAATGGATGTGTGTGTATGTATGTATGGATACAATTTTTCGTCCACTTTTTTCGGGCGCACGGATGAACCGATTTGAATGGTTAAAAAAACTTTCGATTCCTATTGATAGGGAGATGTGCTGATTAGTTTTTGGCAAAAACAGATCCAGCCGTTTCGAAGATACGGAGCAAAGAGTGCAGAAAATAGAAATTGAGTTTTTGTGAGAATGAGGCCGATTTGAGTGATCTAAAAATTCATTCAATTTGTAATAACAGGAAGAAGTGATAATAAGTTTTTGGCAAAGGCAAGTCCAGCCGTTTTGGAGATACCGAGCTAAATGTGAAAAATGGCAGTTTTTGAGAGATCTAAGCATCCGATTTGAATGATTCAAAAAACTTTCTACTTGTTTTGACAAAATAATTGCTTTTGGAAAAAAAATTGTTTTACCAATTCTTTTTCAAGTTTTTTTTAAATAAATTTTTATTGTTATCGAAAATAATTCAGATTTTAATTTTAATTCTGGATAAAGTTCTAAAGCTCACTTATATACTTTAAATAAATAATTTTAACTTTGTAATTTTGTTTATATATTTGTTATAAGTATTATACAATGTAGCAGTATTTATGATAATCTATATGAAATCATTTTATATTCCTCGAACATTTTGTTACACTGCAGGAAGTTCCTACTAGTTATTTATTTTTATCCAATTTTGGACTAAATGGCATACTTACACAATGGACATAATGACATAGTACTATTTTTTTTAACATAGTAAGCATTAAAGACCCAACAAAAAAGAAAATTCGTCAAAGATTTACCTGATAGTATATAAAGTTAAAGTGAAAGAAGTATATATGAAATAATTGCTAAAAACATCCCAAAAGATCCCCCTTTTTGAAACCTTTTTTCCGTTCTGAACTGAAAGATTGATTACGAAGTAAAAGTTGTACCCTTTGAGTTGATGCTTTATGTGCTAATGTCCTAAAGAGGATAAAACGATTTATTTGTGAAACTTTGTTATAAATTGGAATTTTTATATGTTTTTATCATATGGACAAAATGTTTTATTAATAGGTTATATTTTTCCTTAATAATTATATTATGATATTTCCTAAGTTGTAGGTTCTTAGTTAAAATACTATCTTACAGAAAGTCGATGAACCAAAAATGAATTGAAATTATTAATAATGGTTATAATATCATAATCAATAAATGCAATTAAAAAACAAAACACAATGTTATTTTGTCTGTACTTCTCCTACATTATTTAAGTAATAAGTAGTGCTTAATGCAGCCTTATAGAACATGTAATAGTTCTGATTGCTGTAAAATGCAAACAATAAAAAATGTTAAATGGAAAAAAATCAGAATAATATTTTTATGGGTTCTACAATTTATTGGTGCCCATAAAAACAAACGTGCAATGTTAAACTAAATTTGTAAATAACTGAATACAGTTATCAACTCAATAATATATGTGAAATCCTTCTAATGTTATAGATCTTCTAATAACATGTATCATTTCAGGAATCTTTGTTCCGCAAAGCGGTCGATATTTTGTGAACAGTCACGCTGGTTTATTTGCGACCTGTAGACACGTGTTGAATGTCAGCTGGCCCGGCGTGCCGGGAAACCTAACGCTGACAGCTGAACGACCACCGATATTGCTCAATTCAACGGATGATCTGAAGTACAACTTCACACACTTCAGTGAGTATTGAAATCTTTATTATTATTTTAGTCGAGATATCATCATAACTTCTTTCGACACATATGTTTTCATTAATCAAAACTATTGGTACACAAAGCTCATGAAATACGAAATTGATGTGAATATTTACTTTAAGTAGGCCTCGGACGCATGTTGCATATTAGATATATTTTGCAACAGGTTTTGTTTTATAATAAACTAGCTGACCCGACAGACGTTGTCCTGTACACATGTCTACAATTTTTTAATATAAAATACTAATATTTACCGTTTACCTAAAAGTATTAATTATTGTTTTTTAAATTACTCTTCACGCCAAAATGCATATACGTTTATAATAAGAGCGATGTTAAATGTAGATCTGCTTTAAATAAAATGATGAGTCTCAATTCCCACACTATATTGGAAATTGAAGTCTTTTGAACGGTATAAAATAACCATAACCATAACATAACACTGGTAGGGTAGGGCGGGGCTAGTTGAGCAAATTTTTACTTAAACGGATGTAGCACCTCAATGAAAAGTCTCAATAAATTGCTATACGGCTTAATGGATTTGTTGTTTATCGCTTAACAAAAGTGTTAATACTATTTTTTGGTAATAAGTAAAATTTAAAAGTTACAGCTGTTTAAATGCAAAAAGTCAAGTATGCTCAATGTATCTCATAGGTGAGGCAAGTTGAGCACTAAGAAAGTATAATGAAATAATAGGTTCAATGTCGATTAGTGATGAAATAAAATAAGTTTTTAATAACCAGTTCTATATTTATAGTCTTTATTGACAAAGAAAACAAAACTTATAGTAATTTGCTTTGAATAATTAACGAAAGAACAATATCGTATCGTAGGAATTATTTTATCATTATATTCAGTATTTTTGTTTAATATCATTATTTCTTTATATTATTACTCATAGACTCAGCTTAAATCTTAAAAATAATAATCAATTTCTGGAAGTTAATGATAATTGTCTTATATAGAACAAGTTTAGCAACTATGCTCAACTAACCCCAACTCAGAATTTCAAAACAAAAGTGAGTTTATAAAAAAACCGTGAGAATTATAGCCAGAATTTCTGTGCATATTAAAAGTACTATAATTATATTGAAGAATAACATTTACCTGATTAAAAATAAATAATATTTGACTAAACCAGACGAAAACTCGTGATGAATTACGTTTTTACTTTTTGGTCTCAAAAGAAACAAAACGCCCGTGAGCCTCACTCATTTGTCCAGCGGCCACTAGCGATCGCGGGATGTTTATTTCTCCCAAACCTCTATATTTCCGCCATATGATGCCTAAACGGACGGTGAATAGTTTTCGAGATATTTCGATTGCTCAACTTGCCCCTATGCTCAACTAGCCCCGCTCTACCCTACTTCATGTTGGATTAATATAATTTAATTTTTTATTATTTAAGATATCTAAAATTGCATCTTAAACTTCTCCTAATTGATATCGTGAGGGCCGAATTGTATGTATTCATCTTTACTTTCTCATTTGTTGTTATAAAGTGAAAGTTTTACGAATTTTAAAAATATTGTGAAAAGATTAGTAAAAGATGCAAAGAAATTATATATTAAAAAAAAAAAACAATATTGTGTCCGACTCTTGTGTTGGCGCCCACTAAGGCGTGCGCTCGTATTTTTCGCATGCATTGCATTAAAGGTAAGACCGGCCCTGATTAATACTTAATTTAATATTTTAAGTGAATTAATTTGTTATATTTGTTCATATGTGTATAATTCAATCTGCCATACATATACTGTATTTTGCATTATTTTAATTTGTGGCACATCTCAGCTGCTTTTTGGCAATGATAATGTAGACATTTCATTTTCTCATTTATAATCATAAATTTATTATACATATTCTATGGCTCATAAGTAAATTGAAATTTTTGGCAGATGATAGTTTTTATTTATTTTCAATGCTAACAACGACATGTCGTTTTTTGCAATTTTTTTCATTTATTTCTTAGTACTATGTAATCACATACACTCTAAAAATTTTCCTTAACAAACTTCAGAAACATTTATCAAAATCCAAATAATCGTTGAAAAGAAGTTATCAGTGAGTGATTGTAATTTAATATGAACTTTTTATAATAGTAATAAAGCTCAAATTGATTCTACGTTTTAGTTAGAAAACGTTTGTATGAGAAAAAGAAAAGGGCTGTTTTTAGGGGTTTCCCGGCAATTTTTCGTTTTTTTCTCGCCGTAAGAACCATCCTTGGACTTCAACGAACATTTAAAAAAAAGAATTGGCCAAATTGGTTCAGGCGTGGTTGAGTTATGCGCTTACCAACACATTTTGCGGTCCATTTTTATATATAAGATATTGTTCTATGTTTGAAGATATTGCATCAATTAAAATTACAATTACTATTAATATATATTATTGAAATCAATGTACACCCAAACTTCGCTTTACGGCCTAGATACGTTCCGCGAGACTTGACCGTAAAGCGAAAAGCCGTATAACGAATCAATTATTCTAATACGTATTCATACAAATTAAATGTTCCAAATTTAATAAATATATAATATGGTTTATCATTCAAAATGCATTTTATTTTTTATTTTGTTTAAATTATAAACATATTTAACAAGAACATAAATTTTACATAAAATAAAAAACTTCAAAAACATTACATAATTTTTAAATGAAAATGAAACAACTAAAACCTACAGATTACTGTCACCATTATTTTGCGCTGGTGGTTTGAAAAATTTGTCTAAAGTTGCTTAAACAACTTTTAAGACTAGGAGCAAAACAAATTTGCCTTGCCTTCTTGTCTATTTCTTCCTTTAGTGATTTATAACAGTTAATAGCTGAGTTAATTCCTCGAGACACATTAGCGCTACGTTCGATGTCAGGATCGTTTTCAAGGAAGATGTTTATTCCTTGTTCAAAATATGAAAAAGCGCTCGACATGATTTTTGATGTTAGCTGTTTGGATACAACAGGTTCTGTATCTTCATCAATAGCATCATTAGCCGTCTCTGCTTGCAACTGAATGAGTTCCTCAAATGAAAGGGGTTCCCTATCAGCTGCAAGTAGATCCAGCACATCAGATTCGTTTAAATCTTCAAAACCGAGATTGCGCAACATATCGACATAGAGAAAAAAAAGCCGTTATAGTATACGTACCTTAATTAAAGAGGGCCGTTATAGCGAAAGGCCGTATAAAGAGCTAAGTCCAAAAATATAACTTTGTCTTTCCAAAAATACCAACACAAGTTGAGACAAACGAGTTACAAACGTAGAACTTTATTTCAACGGCATTGAATTTTCAAGTTGCATTCACTTTCGTTACTCGTATGAAAATAATAATGTTTACCTATTTTTCTGTTACCTAGTTTTCAGTGTTACACAAGTGATTTATTTAAAGTCCACAATCACGTCTAACGACAACAAAAACTACAATTCCTCTTGCCAACTTCGATAAAAACTGAAGAGAAAGTGGAAATATGATCTTTTGCAAATGTGATTTCATGTCATTCATGCAGACGGTGACGCTCTTGATCACGTCAGCTATTTATTTATACACCTGTTTTGTCTTGTAATCCTTATCATAGTTATTTATGATTTAGTTTTATTTTATATTTAATCATAATACAATTGCAGGTTTATTTCAAAAAATGAATTTATGCTAATTGTCCATGCATATGTTTCAGTAGTATTTTTAAAGACTAAAATAAGATTAAAGCCAGTCTTATCTAATGTGCAATAATCGGGAATAAGTAAAAGTAATAAATATAATTATTAGTACATAGAATGAATTGAATTATTGCTTAACATATTTTTTTAGTTTGAAGATATTTGCGGTTATATAACTAGTAAAAGGCGTTTACGAGTTACTACATAAAAAACTCTATAACTAATGACGCTATAGAATTAAAATAATTTTTGTCGAGTATTGTTAATTTCAACTCTGATTAACAGAGTGATTAATATGCCCTTGTACAAAAAATATGATATAAAAGTTTATAAAATATTTAAATAATTTTGAAAATTCAAGTAACGAAAAGTTGATTTCATAGTCGATAAAAGCGATGGAGTTGAAGATACTGTTTCTCTTCAGAAGAATTTATCTATGAAAATACGATATTGTGCCAAATATCAATGTCGATATACAGGCTGTTGTAGATTTGAATCAAATCAATAATGATGAAAGTATATTGATCAACAATAATGAATTAAAAGTAAAATAACAAGTTGAAATGGTCAAGATAATTGCGCATTATATGGCCAAAATAAGTTTCCATCACCATAGCAAAAGATTGAAGATGTTGATAAGCTTTGTTTCCCTAAAATTTTTGCTAGACATACTTTACAAAAATGTGATAAAACTTATTTAAGCTAGTTGATATTGGTATTTTGCCATGAGGCAAGTTACATGAACTTCCCGATATGTGTAATTAATTGACTTAATTAATAAAAATGAGTGATTAAAAGATAACTTACACATAATTGAAAACGAACGAACGCATTAACTCGGAGTATTTCTAAAACCAAATTTTCATAAACCAAGTGCATTGAGGCCAAGTACTCTAGCGTTATACCAAGTAAATCGCGAATTACTCATTTTCTCAAACTTTGATGAATTTTTAAAATTAAACTACTTGTCGTAAGGCCGTAATATTTTAGTAAGTTCTATAAGACCACGATATATATTGACAAAAAAAATTCCATAAAAATCGGCTTAATTTTCTTTTGAACAATTAATTACAAGGAAACGGCTTGGTAGATTTTCACCTAAAACTAATCAGTATTATTCCTAACTAATATCTTTCGAACAGTTTTTGTTTTTTCAAAATCGATTCGGTAAAATGAGCTTAAAATGTGGACTTTTCTGAAATCGGTTCAGGCGTTTTTGAGAAAACGTCGATCAAAGGTATAATTTTGACAAATGCCAAAAAACGATACTAACTTTTGCAAACTTTGAAGAATTTTTAAAATTAAACGACTTGTCATAGGACCGTATTATTTTAGTATGATCCTTGATATCTACCGTCAAAAAAAATTATAAAAATTGTCAATTTTTTTCTTAAACTTTATTACGAGAAAACGGCCCGGCCGATCTTTACCAAAAACTAATCAGGTCGGTTCCTAACCAATATGTTTCAAAAAACAGTTTTTGAATTTTCAAAATCGATTCAGAATTGCGGGCTAAAACGTGGAAAAAATTTCTGCGATTTACATAGAAACGGCTCGGCCGATCGTCGCACAAAACTTAGAAACGCTAGTCCTCATCGAGATACATCTAATGGCTTTTCAATTTTTGAAATCGGTCCAACCGTTTTTGAGAAAACGTCGATTTACGGCAAAAAAGTGTTCACACACACACACACACACATACTTTTTCCAAATTTGGTCTCATTCGATTCAGAATGGCTTGAAACGTCGAGAAAACATAAAATTAGCAATTCGGATTTTTTGATGAAAACATAAACTTCTCCTTCGGGAAGTTAAAAAATGAAAATCACTATTTATACCCGTCGCGCTGTTACATATTCCTTATTTGTATGAGAAATGAAAAATATCATTTTCATTTGATGTGGTTTATGAATATATATTTACTAAAATAATAGAAAACGGTGTGTTTCGTATCAAAGCAGTTATAATTAATCTTGTTTGATCTTCTTAGACGTAGGACGATATAATTAAAAATATATTTTCTATTTACAGGACGATGTGTATACCATGAACTATTCCCCACGGAACAGAAGATAAAAGCCGATCCTTCCATAGATGATACTATTTTAGGTAAGTATAAAAGTAATTGTTTAATAAATAATTACCAAAGCTTTGATGATGTACACAACACAAATATTAATGTTACAATTATATGAGTATAATCTATAAATACACATCTATAGTATAGATCGTTGACTTTGAAAAATATTAGTGAAATATTTCTTTAAATAAATCTGATACCCGCATGCAATTGCAATTATTTTTAATAAAATATAATAATTGTCTATAATAATTTTTCTCTACATTTTGTTTCTAATTTATTTAAACGTTTTATATGTCCTAGCCCTCCTATTCCAAAAAAAATCAGAATAAATTTATAATATGAATAAAATTTATAAACAGCACGTTTTGAAATTGCAAAACAAATTTAATGTTTAAATATACAAAACTTTGAATGTACTTAAAAATATATTAATTTAATAAACATCAATGTTTTAAAACTGCTAAAATTAATTTTGTTTTATAAAATGGTCGAGGTTGAGATTAAAATTTGGAAATAGTAAAATATTTAATCAATATACATTTTTATATTCCTTATATTTTTAGGAAACCACTAAAAAAGTTTATCAAAATCTAAATTTACATTAATAATATTATAAATAGAAGGAGATTTTACACCAATTCAACAGAATTAATATCTTTTAAAATATTTTTTCAATGAGTTTTTAAGGAAAATGTTAATAAACTTGAACAATTAATATCATTGAAATATTCAATATATCATAATATTAATTAGTGTAATACGGGCTGTATAAAAATATAATGATATGACTCCTATAAAATAGTAATATAGTTTATTATAAAGAGAAACTTAATAGCATAATGTGTTAAGATAATAAATTTCACAAATTTGTTATTTGAATTAAAAGTTTTCCTTTTTCACAACAATTGTTTATTTTATTTTTGATTTACAATAATATCCACATATAGAGGATACAAGATGTTATCTTCTTCAGAAACTATTAAAAACAAATTTATTTATACATCCATACAAATTTTTAAATATATACAAGTTCAAAAATCAATTTTACTATTGCCATTTTAATCATTTTAATAATTACTGAGTAATAAACATGTTATTAAATCATTAAAATATTGAAAATGTATGAAAAGCATTAGCAGCAAAAAATGTGAATAATATTAAAAGTTCTTGAAAAGGGGGAAATCTATATTTTATAAAAGTAGATATAATTATGAACAAAAATTTAAATTTATTTATATATTCATACAAATTTTTAAATACATACAAGTGCAAAAATCAATTCTACTATTGCAATTTTAATAATTTTAATAATTAGAAAACTGAGTAATAAACATGTTAATGTATTAAATCATTAACGTATTGAAAATGTATGAAAAGCAAGAGATATAATTATAAATAAAAACTTGAACAGTTTATTGTCATTTATTATTGAGAAACTATATAATGAATGATATTAGCTATTTAGAAAAACTTGAAGTAAAGAGGAACTACGGACTATCTGTAAGAGGGGTAACTAGTAACAGGTGTTTTTTAATAGGATCTTAAACGATATTAAAATACCTCAGGCATTTTGATTTGCATTATTATTATCGACTGCATATTTTTAAGCATGTTCAACAATGTTTGTTTAAATAGTTATTTTGATTATTGCAAAAAACACACACCTGGGGTCAGTTGAAACAAAACCTTGGGGCTAGTTGCAATATACAAAAATTACCTACTGTTTCAATTAGAAAGATTAAGTAAAATATATAGTTTGTAAAATGGGACTATATATATATTGTGTTACAGGAGTAGCTATATTTTGAATTTGTAATATAATAATAATTATAGTTTACGTTGATTTATGAGACTTTTTTTTAAAAAAAAATGGAATTAATAATTTGTCAGAGTATTATTGTCGTTCTTTGTCGTAACTACTTGCCCTGGTAGATGTTACAACTTGTCCGGAGTAATTCTTGAAACTGATTATTTGTGAAATAATGAACCACAGTTGCGGAAGTATTCTTACTTGATTAACTAGAGGAATACTAAAAGCAATCATCAATATTTATTTTATTGAAACATAATCAATGGATCTCAAGATATATTAATTTAAATATAAACTATTACAACAAGCCTCTAGCTCACCACTAGTTATAAACAATTTTTAAACTGTTAATAAATATTTCAGATTATAATCGCACAGAAGTCTCGTTTGTAATAATTACTTTGATAGTGATGATAATAGGAACTATATTCAGTATGTATACCTTTGCTAATCCAAGATATACTTTCAAAAGATTGGCGGGCGGTGTACATTTTATATCTGGTGAGTATAATTATAATATTGTTTTTATAAAATCGCTTTTCTTGTAAACTACTGCATAAAATTTATATTTTAAATTGTAGTTTAATTAGGTATGTTATGTGCAATATCCACCAAGTTACTTATCTGTCTAATTTCAGCTGCTTGCGTTATGGTTGTGATCCAAGTTTTAATTTCGTCAGTTGAATATACTAAACAGAACTTGAAGTTTATATATCCTAAAGGAGCGTCTAATTAGTAAGTATATACTGCTAACGATAAGTATGCCGTATTATGATTATTTAAGCGTAGTTTCATAGTTCGCAAAATATCTTAGGGAATGGAAGAACTTTAATTATGCATTATCTATTTTGTTATGAAACTATTCATAACGCAAGAAGTTTTGTAATTAAAACTGGTGCGTAGCGCTTAAGGAAATCCATAAGATTTTTAATCTGTGCAATTATAAATTTAATTTTTGACGTTGCAAATTTTCCTTAGCAGTTAAGGTACTTTGAATATAAAAAACATTACACAAAGATGACAATATTAATAATTATCTTAAGAATGAATGATGGTATTTATAATAATAGTAAAAAATTGAAATAGTTTATTCTATATGGGAAACTAGGGGTATGATTGTGCTAATTTTGATCAGCCATAATTTTGTTAATTTACCAGCTAGCTGGAAGAGAAATAAATTAAATGGTAACTTGAACATTTGTCTATATGGAAATCCTTAATCCTTAAATACGATGGATTAGTCATTAAATCAAATTACATAAGGAAAAAGCGAGTGTTACAACATAAAAAATTGTGAAAAAACAACAGATATAAACACTAGAGGTTATACAAAAACCGACATTTCAGAAAACCGGTTTACGAATTTTAATTTATCTAAAAAACCGGTTTTAGCCGGTTTTCGAATTTTATATAAAAAATGAATGTTTGCTCGAATATTCTGTAATTTATCCGCAAATTTAGTGTGATTTAGAGCCGTATTTAACAGAATTTATGTATTGTTCAATTTTATGGATAGTAAACAAAATTATTTTAATTTTAATTAGTAGAACTAAAAAATAATAGTTTATCTTTATTAAATAACTTTGGAAATAATTATTCGTTATTCATTATTCATCATTTTCACATGTAAGAATGAAAATATTTTTATGATAGAGAAATTTTAAATAAAAAACATTCATTAAATTAAAAAAGAAATAAATAAATATTAGATACATGTTGATACTTGTTAATATCAATTTTAGTTTTAAAAACAATTAAGCTAAACTCGTGTATTGTCTGTTTCGAGAAATTTTAATTAATTAATTTTAAACATTCTAATTGTTTTTTGTTTAATATAATATGATTTCAAAAAACTTATTGTTAGATGTGTCCTTTGTTCACTCATAAAATTTCTTGAAATAGAAAATACTCTCATACTAGCGACCAAATTATGCTTGCCTCATATAATAATTCTAATATAATAAGTTTTTTCTTTAATTTGTGGCTTTTTTATTTAAAGTTTGAGTAGTGGAAGTTACTTCTTCAAGAAGAAGTCACACTAATTTAAATTAATATATACACTGGTATAAAAATCTAAATTAATATATACAAAACATTTCTGGAAACCATTCCAGACTTATAAGATATACAGTGCTATTGAACCGATATGATTTCAAGAATCAAAACGCTTTCATCTATCTTTTATATTTGGCTATATTTGTCATTTTTCATTTATACAGCAAAAACCAACTTTTTTCACTAAAAAACCGGTTTTCGAATTCCATAATTTTACAAAAAAAAACGTTTTTTAAAACCGGTTTTTGCAAACCGACAAACCCTAATAAACACCCAAATGGATTTTAATAACTTTTATGGTCAGAAATGTGTAACACATCACCAAAGTTTATGAATATGTATAATATAACAATATTAGGATATAATAATTTTTGTAAAAAAACTCTTGTTTTGTATTCAAGACAAAGGATTTTTCATAAACGAAGGATTACTTTAAATTACAAAAACGACTTCTGTGAACTTTTTGAATAATGTATTATAATAGTACAACTATAATGTACTTGAAGTACTTTACTAAAAAGCTTAAAATATCATTTATTGATTGACTTTGTAACGATTGCAAGCGCTGCGAAAAATAAATGATATAGAATATAATCTAGAATTACAAAAAGATTAGAATATAATTTTAACCAGAGTCAAATTTATTTCAGTTATGGATATAGTTTCTACATCGCTTGGTTGGTGCTGATAGTGAATTTCGGCAGTGGAATCGCATTTCTGATGTATTCGAAGAAACGTAAAAACAAACAAGGCTTAGACGAACTGGGAATGGCCGACGAACCCACGATAATGGGGCGATAATAAATATTTTATTGTGAGATTTATCTATACAATGGCATTATATAAATACATATCACTAGATCTTATTTTCAATGTTAAATCCATGGAAAGATAAAGATAATGATGCCATTCTCTTCACGATAGTAATATATATTCAAACTTGCCAAAGGAATGTAGATAATTTGTTATTTACACAAGGATATGAATCATTAATTCTCAAAATATATTCCGCAGTTGAAGTTTTAATGTTACACGATTTATTAAATAGCATTTGTTAGCGTCGATTGAAGTAACAATATTTATTCTGAACATACATGTTTCCTTATTTCTATATTAAAATTGTTTGAAGACAATTTTCTGTTACTTAATTAGGAACATTTGCAGAAATTGATCTTCAATTATCTATTTTTTCTAGTTACATTTAATTAGAGGAATTACAGATTTATATTACCGAGATAATTTTATTATTATTAAATTTTTACGTTATAGTTAACTGCCATTATCTACGTTTTTTATATTGTGCATTAAAATTTTTGGAGGCATAAATTAAAAATAATAGGGCAGTTGGTAACCAGAGTAGATTATCCCACAAATTGGGACAAACTGGAGTACGGTGAGGATATGATGAATCCGTCAATAAATAATGTTGCCAAACTGAAATAAACATAATATTTACATCTGTCGTTAAATTGAAGCAAAAAATCTACCTTAGCTCTAGGTTATTTGACTATTCACGAAAACCCAGAGCAGACTATAGGGCTACTATTTTATTTATTAAATGAAATTATTAAGTAATATAATGTGAAAACCCAGAGCAGACTATAGGGCTACTATTTTATTTATTAAATGAAATTATTAAGTAATATAATGTGAAGATAAATGCTATGTAGTATGTAAACTAATTTGAGACAAATTTCGACACGGTTTAATTGGGTTCAGGTATATTTGAGATGGTCAACTCTGGTTATCAACTTATAAATCTATGTTGATCCATCAAAGAATAACTTTATTAATTCTTACTCTATTAATTAATTACGTCAAAAAGACGTAAATGTATGTATGTATGCATGAATTGCCACAGCGTTATGCAAAAATTTGTTTCATTAAAAATGCATATACACATATTTTAATATATAAATTTTAAGAAAAGTTTTGAATTGCATATTTCACCACATGAAAAATTAGTCCATTTTATCACTTTTATCGTATTTGTTAATAAATTATAATATTGTTAAGTTTTTCGAAACTAATATTTATTTATATAGGAACTTATTTTTAAATATTGTGAATATTGTAAATGATTATTTGTTATTTGATATTTTTAATATTAGTTAAGAAATGTATATCAAATATTTATTGTGTTTTATTCAATATTGAAATTATATCGAAAACATTGTTCAATATATTTTTTAATTATTGAAACTAAAATATTTTACATATTTTTTAATTTTTGCATTAAAATATATATATTATTTACCATAAAAAACATTAACATGCTAAGATAATGAGACTTCTATTTTTGTGTATTTTAATCAATATCATGATATTGGCAATTTCAAATTTGATCAAAAAAAAAAAACAAACAAACTGAGAACAATACACAGATAGTTTCTAATTTTATGAAATAGTTATTTTCTACACAAAGTAGTTCAAAATAGTAGCAAAATATTTAAATATAAATACTAAACTTTAAAATTTAATACTTAAAATTTTATATTATTTGAATAAAAATTGATAATTTTAATTACATCGTTATACACATGATACGAAACGTATGCTTATTCTAAAAAAACTCTTTAAAGGCTCAATACATTTTTTTTATTCAATGTTTCAAACTCAAATGGATCAAACCTATCAAATAAAAAGTATGCAATCTTTAGTTTGAATTCAAAACAGTATAATTTTTCATTTTATCAACAGCATATATTGTAATAGTAATTGTAATTAGCACATAAATATTTTTAATACATTAATGTTTCAATATAATAAAGATAAAAAATAAATATAAACTAAATATAGTAACTTTACTACAAAAATTATGCTCACATGCATTCTATAAGCAATTGAATTTACTATATAGATTTTTAACGTTTAAAGTAATTGGCTTTAAATAATCTATTTTAAAATTTGATCTTGGAAAATAACGAAGTAGTTTGAGAAATAGTATCTTTTATATTATTCGATACTGTAAACAGCAATTTTTGTAAGAATATATGTTATTCAGAAGGGTTTGAAGCTTCGGATATTGTGAATTACGAAATATACAATTAAACATAAACTTCTCCTTCGGGAAGTTAAAAAAAAAACATTAGAAAATTTAAAAAATCCAATTCATTATGCATTAATTTAAAAGCAAAGTACATATATACAAATACTCTATTAAAAGCAGTTTCAATCAAATTCAAATTTTAGGAATCGGTTCAAAACTAAAATTAAGCAAAATTGATTCAAACATCTGCTAACAAAATATTCACAGATGGACGTACTATTCGAAGGATATGTTGCGAATTGGTGATTCATGTGCAGCTGTGCAAATTTTTATGATAATTGTCAAAAAAAAATTATTATCAAAAATTCACCATTGTTCTAAAGTCCGTTTGTCTATGTGGAATAAATAAATTAAATTTGTCTGTCTGGTAATGCACGAGATGCCTAAAGATTCGAAACAATTCTCTAAGTGGAATCATATAAAACAATTGATAGAATTTACAATGACAAACTGAAAAAAAAAACAGAATAGATCTTTCGAGGCAAAATAGTTGTTAAAATTAAGAATGAATATTATCTATTCAAATACTAAAGATCTGACAATGAATAAAACACATAAAATCAAAGCCGTTCGTACTAATATACTTTGAGCAGTATTATTATTTGAACCTGATGTTAAAATTATCTTAAATAATTTTTCTTAATACATGAACTGTAACAAACCAACAACTTTGACAAAATAAAAGAACAGGCAATTTTAAAATGCATTAGTCCAAACAAACCGCAATAAAAATTCGCAATAAACATAACGAAGTGAAATAGCAATACTTAATCATTTTATAATAGAAAATGAACAACATGTTACTTATAATTTGTACATTTCATAGTAATTTATGGCTAACACATTATGGTAATATTAATTTTTATTATAAAGAAGCAATTTAATCTTATATATAAAAATGGATCGCAAAATGTGTTGGTAAGCGCATAACTCAACAACGCCTGAACCAATTTGGCCAATTCTTTTTTTAAAATGTTCGTTGATGTCCAAGGATGGATGGTTCTTACGGCGAGAAAAATTCGAATAATCGTCGGGAAAACCCTAAAAACAGCCCTTTTCTAACTAATACAAATAATCGTAGTCGGCTTCTCGATATCATTTCTTTTGTTTTACTGTCGGCAGGCGATAAAATTAGTATGGCGTTAAAGAATTTAACTTCAAGTCATATAAGATTAAAAAAATCAATGTCAATGTTCATTTGCCGCCCTTGCCGGTGGTATTTTCTTGCATTTTCTGATATAGTCTACTGAGTGTGCTTTTGTTTTGTTTGTAGTGTTTTGTTATCTTCCTATGAATAAAAAGTTTTTGCATGTGACACAATATTTTAATATTGCCTCCTATGAGACAAAGCAATTTAAGTAGAAGAACACAAAATGCTACAAACCAAGCTAATTACCGATCTAATCGTACTGCACAAGAACATAACGAACGAAAGTTACTGAATACCAAATGGGCCGCTATGTTAGTAGTAATGAAGCAATTTGGCGAATATTTTCTTTTTCCAACTCATGAGAGACACCCTTCTGTTATTCACTTAACTGTGCATTTAGGAAATGGGCAAAGGGTGTACTTTACAGCAGTGAACGCAGGTCAAAGAGCTGCTCAGCCACCATCTACTACATTAACAAGTTTTTTGAGACATGTCAAAACGATAATTTTGCACAAACACTACTATATTCTGAAATTCCAAAATATTATACTTGGAATCAAGAAGATTTATACTACGGAAACAAGGAAAACCAGTACCAGGATACACAGATGTATATTCGACCGATGCGATTGATCGAATTTATTTAGTATATCCAAGCCATGGTAAATGTACGTGGCCCAACATCATTCCAACATTTACGAACTGTTGATGGTCCAAATATGCAGTAAATATCAGTAAAGAAATTTACAACAAAGCATTGATTTCAATTGAAGACATGTGCTTTGCTTGATGATGTCAAACAAAGTATAAATTCACATAGACCTGGCCGCGCCTAATCGTCCAATGCATGATGTTTTCAACCAAGAGTTGCATCGAGAATTGTATGATCTCAACAATTTGAAAGAATTAATCGAAACAAATCTTCCACTGTTGAATGAACAACAGAGGTATGTATTTGATATACTTATGAAAGTAACAAATGATGGAACTGGGGGGATTTACTTCTTAGATGCGCCTGGTGGTACAGGAAAAACTTCTTTGATTTCATTAATATTAGCAACAATTCGCTCACAAAATAAAATTGCACTTGCACTCGCCTTATCGGGAATCGCAGCTTTGCACGAAGGTGGTCGAACAGCCCATTCAGCACTAAAATTGACATTAAATATGCAAAGCAATGAAACTCCAACTTGCAACATTTCGAAGAACTCTGTAATGGCTAAGGTTTTGCAGCAATGTCAATTGATCGTTTTGGGCGAATGTATGATGGCTCATAAAAATTTTTTTGGGGCTTTAGACAGAACCTTATGAGATTTGGTGATGCAATGATTATTAGCGGGAGATTTTCGTCAAACATTATCAGTGATTCCACGATCAACGCCAGCTGATGAACTCAACGCATGTCTAAGGTCATCCAATCTGTGGAAAAATGTCAAAGTACTTCATTTAAGCAAGAATTTGCGTGTTGAGTTGCAAAATGATCAATCTCGAAACATATTCTGTGAACAACTCATTGACATTGGTAATGGCAATTTTCCTATTGGCATGTTGACTGGATGCATTAACTTTCCTCAAAATTTTTGTCATTTACCTCAATCAAAAAAAGAACTCATTCAGAAGGTATTTCCAGATGTTGCTCAAAAATACAGAAACCATGATTGG